GCGCAGGAGGGGAAGACCCTCTATGAGGTGGATTGATTCAGTGACTGGGGTACTCGGGATGGGTTTGTCAGAGGCAATGAGATTGGCTCAGGATAGAGCACGGTTTAGGGCTGTTGTACATAAGGTCGCTATGAGTCGCAAATGACTCAAGGGCACATAACAACAACAACAACAACATGGGGGTAGGGTGGAGACAGACACCTCTTTGTCCAGTCCTGGAGAACAGGTATGTGGTTATGAAGAATCATAGTGTACAATTGAGGGGAGAGGGAATTCAACAAATCTGAGTCTCCCTGTTACCCAGGGTAATCAGCAGCTTTCTTTGGTGAAGGAATTAGTTTTTCTAAGGGGAGAGAAACAGAGGCTGACCAGAGGAGGAAGCATGAACTGTTCTAACCCTTCTTCTTTCATAAACTTCTATACTCTGATATGAATTTCAGCCCATGACTCTAACTTGGCTATGGACAGAGACTACCTGCAGAGACAATCAGTCTGTATACTGAAAGATGGTTACCAAAAATGAAAATTAGTGCTGAAAAGTGAAATTACCCACCTATAAGGAATCATCTCAGTGAGCATCCTGCTGGTTTCTGTAACCATGCTTAGCTTGTTTGAAATTAAAGTGAAGCCAACAATCTGCAGGGAGTAAAAAAAAAAAAAAGTCATATGATAATCTATATATTGTTCATTGTTTACAGGTGCAGGGGTGTCCATAGCATCTGGGGAGTCAGGAAATGGAAGAAGGGGAAATTCTACATGGTAGGTTTAAAGAGATATGGGGCATGTCTATAGAGTAAGAAGGTACTGGTCCTCCCTGCTGGTAAGGGCCTAAGGATTCTTACTTTTTTTCAGTTTTACCATAAGTTCTTTTTAGTTTAGTTCTTTTTTTAGTACTTTTTAGTTATATCCTAATTTTTTTTTTTCTGACACAATGATGGGAATGCATGAATGCTAGAATTCTCTCTTGCCACGCACCTCACTAATCTAGACCAGTATAAACACGCTCTCAGCTAATGTATCAATGTCTCTGGCTTTTAAAATTTATCAACTCTAGGTTTGTTGTTGTTGTTGTGTACTGTAGAGTTGGACCTGACTCATAGCTAATCCTCTGGAGGGTTTTCAGAGGCAGCACAAGAAGAGATTGCCCATCTTTCTCCTGGAGAGTGGCTGGTGGCCTCAAACCACGTGCCTTCAGGATTGCAGCGCAGCTTTGGGGAAGGTTGAGTATGCTGAGAGGCATGATACTAGCTAAACCTTAATCATTGGAGTATTTTCTGATTACGTGTGTGTGTGTGTGTGTGTGTGTGTGTGTGTGTACACACACACCCAAGCCTTTAGCAAAGCAATTACCTGCTTTTATTTTTCATTTACTTCTCGAAGTGGCAATTCTCCTTTATACTCCATTTCAGCTAAACAGAAAATAAATAACCTAGCAATTATTCCACTATATTAAGACCTTGCACCAAAGTAGTTTAAATCAGAGCCAAGGGACATCAATATCCATGTTTTTAAAAAATAGCTTTATCTCATTTTTCCTAACACATACATTGTCCTCCGGTATAAACTTTAAGAGTTTGATGTGATTATGTAATCAGATGAAGAACCCTAGGAAATTCACAGATTGGAAAAATATGGAAAAGTTTGGATCACAGTTTGAATCAGATGAACTAAGTCTTGACATAGTTAAGAGGCAAGAAAGGGGTCAAATGGTCAAAGGAAGTCTTATTTCCATTATAAAGGTAATATGGTACTACTTTCTGTGGTATTGGCAGAGTACTAAACATCCCGTGTTAAGAAAGGACAAACCAATCTGTCTTGGAGAAAGTGAAACCAGGGTGCTTTTTAGAGGGAAAGATGGTAAAATTTCAACTCACATATTCTGAGTATGTTGTTAGGAAGGACTAGGATTCAGAAAGGACATCACTTGAGGAAAGGTGGAGAGTCAGAGAAAGAGGAAGACTCTCAACAAGATGAACTGACACAGTGACTGTTAACAGTGGGCTCAAGCATGGTAGGAACTGTGAGGATGGTACAGACAGGGAAGAGTACTCTGACATATTTAGGTGTTTACTATATAAGGTGTGTATGTGTGTATGTTTACATATATATGTAATCGTGTACACATACTGTATGCATAAGGTAGCTCTGATGGCTTAGTGTTAAGAACTTGCACTGCCAACTCAAAGCCACACAGTTCAAATACACCAGCTGCTGTGATAACATAAAGATGAGTCATCTCCTCCGTTTGATTTACTGCCTCTGAAACCCCACTATATGGTCAGCTATAAGCCAGTTCTAACTCAGTGATAAACAACAACATACACATAACTTAATAGAATTAAGAAATTTGAATATATTTGTATGCACCTAGGTCCCAGATAGTGCCTCAAAATTTTACAAAATATTTTAGTATTATGTCTAAAGGACAGACTGGCAGATGTATCTGCATACATCTCCTCCAATGAAAGCATAAAATTGATAGTTTCCTTAGTGACTGACACAAGAAACCTTTTATACTCCAAGTCATACCAACTTTCATTTTCCTTCTGTCACTTGCCTAGCTGTCAAGGAAAACAAGGAGGGCTTTAATCATTCCTAAACGATAACTCTTATTTCCATAACACGGTAAAGAGAAGAAAGAGAACTTTATTCCTAGCAGATGACTTGATATGTGTATAGTGTATTGCAGACATCAATAGCTTGTAAGTACAAATTAGGCACAGAAAAGCTTTCTAGCTACACTGCAATAATGCTAAGCCTCCACTTGCTTTTTGCTGGACCTCAGCTTCCTCTTCTACCTCACCATGGTTTAGTTTAATTATTTATAACATTTCCCAAGGGAATTTATTAACTCTGGCTCACAACCAGATTTGTTAGCCGCTGTCAAGCCATCTTCATACTCTTACTTCTTTTCTCTCATAACAACCCTAATTGATGCCATTGCCTTTGAGAGAATTTGAAGGAACATCATCAAAATCCTTCTGATGGTGTCTCTCTCTTTTTTTTTTTTTTTT